TTGTTTGGAAATATATATAATAAAAAAAAAGAAAAACACCCCAAACAAACCCCCCCCTGTATGCACTGTCAATAAGCACTTATAGCTGCTTAGAGGTGTGGTACGGTATGGGCCGTTACAAGAATGGGCGCTCTAAAATATTCCTAGTCACTTTTAAACTAAAGGCTGCATGTTCCTACCTATAGTGCAGTCCATATACTGAGCAAGTATGCTGGTGCGTAGCATGGTACGCGCGCATATTGTTCCTGTCTGAGGCCTTGATATATCCATTGTGCATTGCAGCTATCATGCAATATTAGGTAGGCAAAGGGCATGAGCATCATCTAATAGATGTGTACAGGTTGACTATTGGCTATTTACTCAGGTAGTTTAACTTAATCAGTAGTTGGCATGCAGTCCCTGCAGTATCATTGTAGTCACATGTTAAGGCCTTTGTTATACAGTGCGTGTCGTTCAGTGACATCATGCAGAGGTACACGGTGTACTTATCAGAGCATATATAAGAAAAAACAAAAAAAACAAAAAAAACAAAAACAAAAAAAAAACCCATATATATACACACAGTAAGGCAGGTAAGATACAGTAGAGTAGAAAAAAGGAATTTCGCCAAACGTAAATGTGCATGGCTGGGTATAGCTTGGCAGTCTGTGGGAGGCCACACATGTCTCAGCCGCGGTGCAGTCCTCAGGTCGCCGTGCCTCCGCCCGTTTTTCCCCATCGGCCCCCGCCCACTGGCTGGGTCTTCCGCGGTACTGTGGGCACTCAGGAGCTGAGGTTATCCACTGGACCCCACCACAAAGTCCGTGGCCTTCCCGCCCCTTGCACCTCCCCAGCATCACTTCGTCCCCCATGGAGTGGGTACCTCCGTGTCTCTCCCAGTGTCGGCCTCACACTTGATGCTGGTACCCTAGCCCACCGGCCACCGGTCCGCCGGCAGGCCAGTGCACTCCCGCCTCACAGGGCTCACGGCAGTGGGGACAGGATTCTCCGGGAACCATCCTTACCCGGTGATCGGGGTACCCACTGCTCCGGTCAGCGTGTGAGCCATGCGGGTATTACGCCCGGCGCTCGGCGTTGTCTGGGCCTGCCCGAGCCGCCCATGTCAGTCCCCTTAGTTAAGTTGCGCTGCGGCCCTCTGGTTGAGTGAAGCTGTATTGAAGCGCCTCTGTATCAGTGTTAGTTCCCGATCCTCTCATCCAAGCCCTTGGTGGGTCGTTTTTTCATGCAATCAGCAGTTTGGGATCTGTATGTCCCTCTACCTGTGCTTTCTTTTCCCCTCTGTGTCTGTGTCCTCTTCTGCTGGCTTGCTGGTCCTTCCACAGCCTTTGCCAGTGTAGGCGGCAAGCGCGCACTCCACGTGGGAGCCCCCATTGTGGCGCGGGTCGCCGCTATATGGCCGGGATAACCCCCGCCGGCCAAGGGGGGAGGGGGGCCGGTGCCGCAGACCGAGCCTGGGGTGAGCCCCCACCCAGGGATTCCTTCCGTGCGATATCTCCCGCTCGGGGGTTGTGCCTCTTTGCGGCCTCTTGTTGCGTGTTGCGGCCGCGGGCGGTTTTGTGCTCTGCCATATGTAGGCCGCGCACGGCTTGCGTTATGCTTAATGTCGGCCGCTGCGATGTGCCGGGGTCGCTCTCCGTGCATTGCTGTCGTGGTGTTCGACTTTTATGCAACCAGGACTGGTTTCAGACGCCGTTTGGCTTGCGTTAGTGCTGGAGCCCATGTTCATGGCGTCCAGTCGGTCCGGCGGCCCGGCCCCGCCCCCTGACCTGTGATATTGCCCCTTGAGTAGCCTATTATTGGATAGCCTCTCAAACACAGGGCTAGTCCACAGGTCTTTAATTGTGCATTCCATGGCAAAGAGTCCGTTCTGAGGAAGAAGGGCAGGGCTTGTGTAGTAGCTGCAGATACTAGATCTGTAGCTATTGCAAGCCAAATTTTCCCAACCCCTTCCACTTGCCCCCCCCCCCGCCCCCTCTCCCTCAAACACCCGCCCTCCCCAAAGAAAATGTGCAAAAAGAATTGCATGAATGTTTTGTTAGGCAATATATCTTCTATTTCCATTTCATTGGCGTGTTCTTTTAAAAATGCATATATATATTTTTTTAACTTTGAGTGTACCTTTAAGCCTAACAATTAGCCTTTCCTGCAAAAAAAAAACATCCACAAAGCATTAAAATATGAATAGATTGTATTAAATAACATATTGAAAATTATTTGACTAACAATGAAGGATAACATAGGATTACTGAACTGATGGTGTGTACTATAGCTATATACACAAACATTTTTTAATGTCAGTTTTATATCTATAATTATATATAAACAACAGGTGAAGCCATGGTTTTGTCTAGTAACTTATTTCCTGTTGACAACGTTAGATCTACTGGAAATGATGTAACACACTTACCTCTGACGGTATTTCATGTATTCTTTAAAAACCCATAATATATTATTGTAGAAACACAATATGGCTTTTATAAGGCAAGCCTTCAACACTGTCTATAAACCTTTAGTAAAATGTTACAATAGTGCAATGCTTGCATTGCTAAAATTATGTTCCTCTCTCTCTTTGTGTGTCTATGTATTCATCTATCTATCTCTCTATCTATCTATCTACATATTATTTATAGTTTTTAAAGGACAGATAGGTCTTTGACACTCTATGTGTATGCATCGCACAACATTACATATGAATAAAATATATAAAAGATTAAAATAAATGCATCATTTGCTTTGAATATTTTCTACCCAACTAGTGCAAATAAAATTGATTTATTTTTTAAAAACCTTGCTACAGATTCACCTATTTGTCCCGAATTTTTAAATGCCTCACATGTTTGGTGTTTCAATTAATTTTTGGGATACAATAATTGGTCTTCTGAGAGTGGACCTTCACTAAGATTCACACAATTCAAAACCAGTAAACAAAGTATAGATGTATTAAGGACACCCCCAGCACTTTGACACTTTTTATCTGATAATTGTACCACCAACCCGTGTCAAATGCTTCTAATTTTATTTAATTTGTGGTGTTTTTCACTTTTCATTTTTGTGGGGAATTTCACAGAACTTGTGCATCACACTATCATAAAATCCCAAGATTTGCATTCTGCTTCTACTGGGATACAGCAATAACTCAAATGTAGACCTTTGGCAGTTTTATGACAAGTTACAGGGTTAAATTACAAACGTGCCAATTTCAGTTCACAAATATGTAATTTTCACTGGTTGATTTTCTGCACTTTTTGGATAAAATAGAAGTATCTAACTGCATATTACCCCCATAATGGCATACCATTTGCAAAACATGGGTAAGACACCATTCTTGCTAACTCAATATATTCAAGTCACAACCACCCATCAGTTCTCCAGTCCACCTTGCTTTTTCCCCCCCCACAAGATCTTTCCTAAAGGATGCTGAGGAATCTGAAGTCCTATTGACCATGGTTTTGCAACAATTTGCCTAATCTTTTACTTATTGTGACCTTTCAATATAAAATTGTAAAGTCAATAACAGAGCAAATCTGTACAAGAAAAGTGGGATGAAGAGTCTTTTTGTTATTGAGAGACATTTCTATGAATGGAAAAACCAGCAACGATTAAAGGACTCCATCGAAACATAGCAGGAAATACAGATATCATCCAGTTCAGATGGGTTGAATGAATTATATGTTAAAGCATTCACAGATGTAATTGGTGGCCTTGGGATTGAGCATCATGAGAAGATGCGATGCCATATGCCAGAATGCAAAAAGTTTATATTTGAGAAACAAAAATTAAAATACAAAAATCCATTGATTAGATGGTCATAGTAAGAGTTTAGAAAGGAAAATTAAATTGAAAAGAGATAATGAAAAGGAAGCAAGAAGGCATGGAAAAATAAGGGGAAGAAAAAGTTAGAATAAATACATTTTTAAATGATGAAAAAGACAAAAGAGGTAAACATCTTATATAAGTACAGAATTGTTTTTAGGAAACAAAATGAAAACCAAAAACGCAAGAATTAATATTTCAAAGGGTTTACACCAAACTTTATGGGAAAAAAAAAATATATATATATAGAACGAGAGAAAGGCTCAAAAAGTAGTCAAAAGAGGGGGGGGGCCTGACCGCCAAGCTGGATGGACGTGGGGCACCTCGGCTCCTCCATGAAACCCTACTATTCGGCTCAAAACTACAGTTATCCCCTGCAAAAACACACAGCAACTACAAGAAGGCAAGGGGGTCCTGAGCACAACTCTCTGTGTGTAACTGCCCCCGTCCCACCAGCGTTGCTGTTTGAAAGCGCCTCTAGCGTTGCTGTTGAGATTGCGGCCTGTCATGAGGCTCTGGCGGGAGATGCGGCCGGTCTCTCGTGCTTAGTCAGACGGGACCTCCCACACGCCTACTAAGGGCCCCGTTCACCCCCCCCAGTGACCACCCAAGAAGCCTGAGCGGTGAACCGTCTAACTAGGGAACGTATGGCAAAAAAACAAAATGGCCGCCGCGTCCATCACTAGCTGGGGAATGGAGGCGGCAACAAGGGAGCAACCTCTGGGAACTGCCTGGAAACCAACACGGACCAGATTACCACACACTAACAGCGGCCCGCAAACAATGGCACACTCTTGCAGCCCACCAGACAACTCCACGGAGGGCACGTTCGACCTGTGAGCAAAGCTCACATCTGCAAACACCTGAGGCACTGTCCCACATGGTTACTGGCAGTCTCATAAGGGAAGAATAAACATGGGACATAGACTCTACTCAATACTAGAAGCTTGTGCCTATTACAGTTGACTCTCCTCCTGCTGTTCCCCACAGAAAGCATTTAAGATACCTGAGCAAATATGGACATCCAACCCGATCGGCTCAACGCTCTGCTGCCCCCTGGTGGTTAAATCTTATTAAGCATGGTTAAACCTAACTGGGCATAGTTTACCCTTACTAAGCATGGTTAAACCTTATTGAACATGGTTAACCTTTCCTAAGCATGGTTAAGCCTTACTGAACATGGTTGACCCTTACTAAGCATGGTTGACTCTAATTAAGCATGGTTAACTCTTACTAAGCATGGCTAAATCTTATTAAGCATGGCAAACTCTTATTAAGCATGGTTGAATCTTATTAAGCATGGTTAAATTTTATGAGGAATGGTTAAATCTTATTAAGCACAGTTAAATCTAATTAAGCAGTTAGAAACCTGTACTGGATGTTGACATGTATAGCTTGTAATCTGACAATCACATAACAACCGTAGTGACTTAATCTTGTTTATATAAAAAATGTGCAATGTTTCTTATGCCACATTACTGTTGCCGCATGTTTCTTTTATGTTTGCACCAGCTGTCGTGGCAGTGCAAAACTGCTTGTTAATTCTATGCACGAATAAAATAAAGAATATAAAAAAAAAAAAAAGTAGTCAAAAGAGAATGTGGAGATATAAATATGATAATAAATCATTATTTGGATTACTCTGCGATGAGTGCTTTCAAAAGATTAAAGCAAGACAAACTATTTTAGTCAATAGTTAGGCGAAAAGAAAATGATGGTTGGAGAATTTTAAACTCAGAGGTTAGATAATACACTAATTAGTCTAATGTACAACATGTAGAATAAATAAGTCAAGAATTGTACAAATTGCTCTTCAAAAACTGGTTACATATTGGTTGATATACCATTGACATAAGGGACAAATATTGTTTTATGATTAGATTCTGTGGTCTTTTAACATGTGCTTTATTTTTTTTTTAAATATGTATTATTGAAAATTGTGAGCAAATGCCTTACTTACCTGACAGTTTCCTCAATTTTGACCCCAATATTTCTGCTCCTTCCGTCCTTCAGTCTAAACAGTTTTCAAACAAAATGCTTTCTATTATCTGCTCTGATTAGCCCCATGCAAAGGCCGTGCTGTCATTGCCCACAGTTCTCTTCACTTCAAAGAAGGCTACTTGCTCTGACTCTCTCTGTATATCATTTGCCCTGCCATTTTCTCATGACAGTATACATTTATTTGCTCATAGTATTATTGAGGCCAAGCTGCTCAAGCAAGGCATCCTCATTCAACCTTTGAAGCATGCCATGCCATACCCTCCGTCCTCTCTGACATGTTTTAATGTTGGCACATTAAGAGATCTTTCTGCAGTTTTGGAGTGTGTGACCCTGTTTCCCCATATAAAGGCAAAGACCATGGAGGCAGGGAACACCTATGGAACCACCAATGGATTTTTCAAAAAGTTTTGACCAACTTTGTACAGATAGAATTACACTAGATCATGCTAGCATAAAGACAAAGACATACCCTGAGTTCCCTCTCTATGACTTAATTTCCATCAGCCTCTGCACAGAGGGGGAAAGGTAACAGAGCCTGTGTTGGATGCGCGCATACTGCTGGAGCATTCTCAAAAATAGCCACTGATATTTACCAAACAATGGGCTGTTGGGGGACTTACCTCACTACACCACCGTCACCTGACAGTGTACAAACTAGAACAACGCGTGGGTGCATTTTAATTGTCTCAACATGCCCCCTCATGGGCTTAGATTCCCTGTGGGAATAGAATTTACGACCTGGTATAACCTGTATGGAAGATACTGTTTATCTGCTCATACACGCACTTGGTGGCTGGTTGGTGGATTACACTGGGCATCCTCAGATGTGGCTCTCTGGCTAGCAGCCAGATGGAACTGGACTCCTTTTGAGATATAAGAAAAAAAAATGGCTCATGTGTTACATGCCCCTATCAATACATTTAATGGAATATAATTGTGGACTTTGGGCAGTGGACAAAAAAATACATAATGGATGGATAGGATAAAGAATTAATTTTTCTTTGTTTTAGTTTTTCTGTGGTAGTTGTTTATTTTCTGTATATGTCAGCATAATGATGTTTTATAGGGATGACATGTACAATACATAAATTATTGTTTAAAACTGCAATAAGCTGTAATATAGGGTAAACAGTTTGCTGATCCCCACTTAATGGAAATCAAATGAGTTCCAGAATAATGGCGTTAAAGGCTGCATGAACAATTGTAATTTCTTTTAGTCACAAGTTATTAAAATGGTGAGAATTGTACACATGGGGTTGGGTTATGAATTCAATATTCTGCCACCTGTGTATGCATGTTATTGGGAGTGAAGAGATTCAAAGATTTCCCTTACCTGAAAAGATCACCAAATTTTGACATGGCAGTTCATGCATTATTTGGAAGTGATGTGCCTATGCTGTCCTCTCCATTCATGATTGTACGAATCAAATTTCTAGCTTGTTCAACAATGTAGAAGAGAAAGATACTGCTTGCAAAGTGAAGTGACATCTTATCATGTTTGGCTCAACAGGTGAACTTTGATGTTAGTTATTGCACACATTCAAATCAAACCTGTACCCTGGCCCAATTAACAGCATCACCCATCTCAGAGAACAACAGAAATGGGGACATGAGTCAGAGAAGCTAGTGGGAACTCACTTGCTAAAAATGAAATCTCACACTCTACACCTGTGATGGTACCTGTGCGTCACAAGTCCACATTGGCACCTGCAAATCTGCGTCTTTTTGTGATGCCAGATGACCTGGTGTTAATTTTGATGTGGATGTACCTGTGTCATTTGTCCGACACCAGACTATACTGTTTAGCGATGCAGGAATGACTAGGGTTTCATAAGCTTCTTCCACAGATGTTTTCCTTGTGGTGATACAAGACCACTTTTTTTTTTATTTCACTTTCTTTAATTGACATCATATAGATTGGCAATACATGGTCAGAAGTATCCATAATAAACCTGTAAAAATTAGTCAAGCTCATGACAATCATTCAGAAAGGTTAGAACAGAGTTTTAGCATAATAACATTAAACAGAAAGTTAAAGAGGATGGATCATACTACTATGGGATTTGCATCAAATGAAAGATCAAATTAACAATGTCATCCCATTTTGGTACATGGCATGAAACAGAGTCACAAACAGCCAAGAAATTAGTGATTAGGGTTTTTGTATGTGCCCAACCCTGATGAGCCCAAGGGGCTCGCCGAGGGTAAGAGTGGTCGGTCTTTCTCGTCTTGCCCTTCCCCCATATGGCCCCAACTCCCATCCCACAAGATCTCCCCCAGCCCCACAGCTTCAGAAAGCAGGTTCAGTCATGGACGAGTTTACTTTTTGGTCTGATTGATATTTGGCTTTTTGACCCTGGCTAGTGCTCTCACCATTCTCCATTTTGTTATGCTTACCTTTTGCTTGTCTGCTCAATTGCTGTCATTTCTATTCTCCATGATCTTAGCTTGTTTCATCAAGCCCGACCACTTTAAGGTCCGATAATACGCCTCTGACTCTTTCTATACCTACCTTAGGTGTTCTCTATGTTTTGCATGTTGGGTCCTGTGGTACTGTGACAACACTATGAAGAAAAAAGATAGAAATAGAGTGCCTTTTGGGCAAAAAAGGGTCTGTTGGACACCCCACATTTCATTGAACCCTTTCCCACAGTCCATAGAATTGAGGAAGAACAGTGTTCTGCCATCCTCATTACCATTTAAACCCATAGCTAAAATAGCCAATACCCATTAAAGGACCACTATAGTGCCAGGAAAACATACTCGTTTTCCTGGCACTATAGTACCCTGAGTGTGCCCCCACCCTCAGGGTCCCCCTCCCACCAGGCTCTGGGGAGAGGAAGGGGTTAAAATCTTACCTTTCTCCAGCGCCGGGCGGGGAGCTCTCCTCCTCCATAGCGTCGTCATCGGCTGAATGCGCATGCGCGGCAGGAGCCGCGCGCGCATTCAGCCAGTTCATAGGAAAGCATTTACAATGCTTTCCTATGGACGCTGGCGTCTTCTCACTGTGCTTTTCACAGTGAGAAGCACGCAAGCACCTCTAGCGGCTGTCAAGAGACAGCCACTAGAGGCTGGATTAACCATATTATAAACATAGCAGTTTCTCTGAAGCTGCTATGTTTATAAAAAAAAAATAGTTAATCCTAGATGGACCTGGCACCCAGACCACTTCATTAAGCTGAAGTGGTCTGGGTGCCTATAGTGGTCCTTTAATTAGAACCGGTGCAAATCATCACTAGGTTATTTAGAATAAAGTCTTTACTTGTTTACAAGAACCAGTTTGTTATTACAAAATGAAATGTTTAAGCTGTTTATTGACTCACTTTAAAATTAGGACATATAATAGCCTATATTCTATATGCAGCCAATGTGTGACTCACTATATCTGCCATACAGCAGTAAAACTACTGAAGCACATTGTTCTCCATATACAGTATAATGCTTTCCAGAGAACATTGTAAATAACCAACTGTAAGATACAGTTTTTCATTTTTTTCAAGCCCTTCCATACATTGAATCAAGTGCAGTAAAAACATTATCTCATATTTTCCTGGCTGTTGCCATATCATCTGCAACAGAGAGATTGCGTACAATACCAACAGGGTGCAAGGTTTCCATGAAAAACAGCACCAATATTATCACTCTGAGAAAGCGTTTCCTGTGTATTTACAAAGGTATAATAGCTCATATGTAGGATGGCAGCTTGTTGATCCAAGGAAAAATCTGATGGCCATTTTAAAGTCACTAATTTTTCCCTTTTTGTTGCACAATTGGGAATTGTGTAAAAAAAAAAAAGGGGTGGGGGGTGGGGTGGGGTTCCCCCTTCATTTGGACCCATGACAGAAAGATGTGTAAACAGTTGCATTTGATCAACTTGGTTCCATTGTCAACCTAGATGACTATGTAACTGTGTACTTCACTAAAAAAAATTTTTTTTGTTACATTTTGTTACTTTCTGCTTAAATAAGTATCTAGGTACTTTAATAACACAAATGTGCCTTTACAATGTGCAAGTACTATTTACAAGCTTGAGAACAATCGCAAATATAAACGCTAATAGCATCTGACAAACAGGCGATTTATTTAACAAAAAATATGCCTTCATTATTTACAAGGATTTTATTTGGTATATGATGACATAAAAGGTTGTACACAAGGAGTACACATTTTTCTATATACAGTTCCTTTTTTGTTGTTGCTTATTGAATTTCTGACTTCATTAATGTAGAGTGTTTTGTATAATAAAGCCAATAAAGGCTTGTATCTTACTATATTGTGCTACCAACACAAAAATTCAAATGTGGTACCCACTGGTCAGCGACTTGATTTTGTCTACTAGGATTAGAATCTATTTAAATATATTTGATTATGTTGTATTTGTAAATTCTTGTTTACTTTTCTATAAAGGTACACAATAATAATAAAAAAAAATTACATGGTCAACCACAATTTTATTGTAACATATTTTCGCTCAAAGAAAAATTACCAAATTTAAAGAAAAGAAAAAAAATCTACATATTACTAAATAAAACACAAAGCACTTAAATGTCATACATTTGAGATCTCGCTTTACATTTAAAAATGCAAAACATTGCTACATTTTACATACATTACAAAAGGTAAAACAGATATATATATATATCTACATACATAGAAATGTACACACAAACAGGAGGACAAAAAAGACATTACAAGAGTATTAACGTTATAGTAATACAATACACATTTTCTTCTAGTCTGCTTATGATGTATACACTTGAACCTGCATATTCTTTCATTCTTTCCCTTGAAAAGATTGAGAAGGTCACTCATGATCGTAAAGCCTTTTAATGCCATACATACAACATTGCAATTCATATGTTTTCTGGCACTGAAAGGTTTAAGACTGTCAATATAAGGCACACAACCTTGTAAAGGCACTGGCTATGAAATCTGAGTGGGGTATTTAATACAATATTTTTAACCTTTCCTAGCCTGATCCTCAGGTCAGTTTGCATTGCTAATGTTTCCCTAATAATGACTTACTGAAACCATTTTAGCCAAATGACAATGTGATGTACCAATTTAAAGGACATTTCCTGCATTAGAACAGTTCTACATTTGAACGCATATTACAGGACCTTAAAATACTTCAAAGTGGACATGCGTGCTATTGGCAGTTTTTCACGAATACAGCATGGCAAAAATATATATGGGGGGCTGTTCACTAGACAGCAAGTGGTGGTAACTTGAAAACTGCCTTGCAAACGTTCAGACATAATACTAATAATTTATATCTCCAAATTATGCCTAGGATGAAACATATATATTTCCACCTTGACTATTTGAAATGTAATCATGGAGGATGCTTATCACAACAACTCATTTACCGAATAGACCTCCATATGTTTTGTTAAAATCTGTAAATTGTTTATTATGTTTGGGATTATCATTATTTTACAGTCTTGCATGGTACGCTTTGCCTCTCTAGGAAGTCTTCCTGTCTTATTAATCCTTGCTTCCATTGTATAGTATGCGAGAAAGCGTTTACAATACACAAAATAGACTGCATGGTACATGCTGGGAACTAACATTGCATAGGCATAGTGCTTACCACATTAGTTTAACCCCTTAAGGACACATGACATGTGTGACAGAAGTTTGGTCCTTAAGGGGTTTAAGTACACCTTAAAAGGTATGTATTATCCACATTAGTTTAACCCCTTAAGGACACATGACATGTGTGACAGAAGTTTGGTCCTTAAGGGGTTTAAATACACCTTAAAAGGTATGTATTATCCACATTAGTTTAACCCCTTAAGGACACATGACATGTGTGACAGAAGTTTGGTCCTTAAGGGGTTTAAGTACACCTTAAAAGGTATGTATTATCAGATATCAACCCGACATATATATTTAGCATCATTTTAGGAATAGATTAAAGATGTTTTGGATGACAATACTGCTTGCAGGACTGATGGGGACATTAAGGGAGAAATGTAGTTTAAATCCACTGACACTTGCGGGTTTGCTAGCCAAACTGTGAGACAAAATTAGTTTTAAACTGAATTGCAATATTTAGGGTAAAAAAGTGAGTCAGAGAAATTCCAGCTTTGCTATCATGATAGAAAGTTTGTAACTGGTTCGGCAACGTACCACTTATTGCTGTTTAGCGAGTAACACCACCCTCTGAAGAAAATGGTCTAGCTGTCTGCTAATACATTGAAGTAAATCTTAACAATTTGCTCAACGGGTTAAAGCATGTACACCCTGAGGGATTAAATTTAACAGGACAGGTGGCGATATTTGCCTTTTAATGTATATTAATAAAAAAAGATCCTTTGTCTACACAACTAAAGCAGAAAAGCAGGGCTCATATAAAATAACGTATGTTGTTTTTTCCCTCAAATTTTAAAGGTTTAAATATGAGAACTTAATCTTACAAAATGAACACCTTTAGCCGCCTTAAAACTAACACTTCCATCCACAATAAATAATTAAGGACATCTAAGTTAGCTTTTGTTTCTGCTAACCCTTTAGGGCAGGGAACTCAAAGACCACTTTTACTTGAGGGTTACTGACTAAGTTTGCTTATGCCGTGGGTAGTGGGGCAGGGGCAGATTTGTATTCTCAACCCTGTGCAGACATGCACAGATCCTTATTTATAGTCACACAGACAGCTACACATTCTTATGCACACACAGCTACACAATCATATGCACAGACACAGCTACAAAATCCCATGCACAGACACACAGATACACACGCTCTTACTATTATTATTATTATTTACGAAGTGCTAACAAATTCCACAGCTCTATATAAGGGGTAGACTAAAGGACAAGTATCTGTGACAAGACGGGTTGGTCGCACAGGAACAGAGGGTGCTAAGGGCCTGCTCAAATGAACTTACATTATATCTAGAGGGAGTGGGATAAAGTTAAACAAGAGGCAAGGGTAGAACGTATTTCATCTGCGGGAAAAGTAGGTTGCTAGAATAGTTTACAATTAAGGCTTAGTGTTTTAGGTTACACAATTGCAGGAGAGCAAGCAAAGTGGATAGATAAAGCCATTAACAGTTTTACTTGTATGCTTTCTTAAAGAAGTGAGCTTTCAATTATATTTTGAAGGAATGGAGATTGGGTGAGGGTCTAAAGTCTTAAGAAGTCTGGAAGGGGAGTGTCAGAGGTGCGAGTGCAAACAGAGAATAGACGCAGGTCTTCAGAAGAGCATTGGGGCCTGGACAGGGCATACTTGTAAATTAATGAGGATAGGCAGGTAGTAGCAGTGTTGTGACACAACAAGACATCCCCATACTCACAGAGCTGTTCACTCCCACACAAATAAGTAACTACACACTCCAATACTTAGAGGTTCACAGCTACACATATGACATGCACTCCTCCTGTCCCCTAGTTGAATTCTTGATAAAAGCTGTCTCTTTGTGTACTCTAGCTTACGTACTCTAGCTAGGCATATCACTGAGGTTCCAGCCCGCAATCAAAACTTTAGTAATGAGACTGCCTTAAGCATAAAAAAAAAGCCAGTGCTACCCATTGAGATTAAACAAGGCAATAATCATGGCCATATACCAGGATTGTCCCTGTAAAACCATAAAGGATGGCTGTGTGAAAGTATAAAGGGGGCTGGAAATGGCCTGCAGGCTGGTGCTCTGAGACCCTTGCATCAGGATCAGAAATTGTTTTCTACAGTACTGACAGGATGTAAATAACACATGGAGATTATTGCAAGAAATGCTTGCTCAAATGTTTTTTTTAGATAATTATTTTACATATATTCGTTCATTTAATATTCCCCATGTAAGAATACAATTAAAGGATTCTGTGTTTTTCAAATGAGACTTCTTGGATTAATATTCTGTAATTGTCTATAATACTCCCCATCCAGTGCTTCCTATTCCATTATGAGCACAGCGGAAGATGAAGTGCAATGATCATTGTGGAGCCAAGTCAGTTATGTTGCATGTTGTTGTGGACAATAACACCCATGACTGGCAGCCAAGCTATTCTGTTAGATGTTTAAACACAACTGTTTGATTATTGACATTATTCTACAGCAGCAGCATCTGTGAGATGGATTTGATACATTCCTCCCCCATCATGTCTTTATTTTTAATATAAATTAGTAATGACTGACTCATCTAAATCTAAGGAGCCAGCTTGGGCATACAGATATTAAACAGGTGGTACAACTGGCAACGGTCAGATAGTCAGATAACTATCACAGGTTCAGTGCTACATAAATGGTTACAACGAAAACTACCTCTGTCAGTTAAAATAAATGATTTATATAATAAAAAAGAAATCAAGAAGCAGGTATACTGTGACACGTTGCAGTATTTTAGACAGCAAACAATATTCACATTCACAAAATGAAAACGTATTTCACATACAGGTTGTACATATAGACAAAGTATATTATGTTATGCCACTCAACTTTACAAACTATAAGCATTAAAAAACAAAACAAAAACAGTTTAAGTGTATGGAAGTAACATTAAAGTAAACAGAGAATAGATAACAGAATAAAATAATCCCATCATTAGATAAGTAGGCTGGATTTATAGTATATACGACATATTTTGTAGTTCTTCAGATCAACGCAAACATGTTTATGTTTTGTGCCGAATTTAAAATACATATGTGTCCACGCGTGGTGGTCTAACACAGCAGGATAACCATCTTTTGTGCAGTCTGAACTCGCTATAAAAAGCCATTATCTTAGGATTTGCCTCTGCAGTGGTTGCTCGGACAACAAACTGTAATTCCTAGAGTGCATGGAGGATTATGAGGGATACAGTCCTATAGCTTCAATCACCCCAATAAGGAAAAGTTAATTCCTATAGACAAACTATGTGTCAAACTATGTGTCAATTTAACATAGATTGCCATTACCATAATTGTGGGGTATATTAATATCAGTGCTTTCAGTGTATATTTTGATTGGTAAATTCTGAATAATGGTGTTTTTTTACAACCATACATAAGTATCATGATCTTCAGTTTACATGGTTTTGAAAAACTTTAGCTATCATCTTAGAATCTCTGAAAAAGAAGAATTGGTCACCAGTGAACAATCTCTTCCTTTTCGCCAAAAGAGACATCACCTAATTATAAGTCACGCACATGGTACAGATTTTGGTTGAACAGTCTTGATTGCAGGTTCCCATCTCGCTGTCCTGATTCAGTTCCATGGTGTTCCTGCATCACAGGGACACCAGTGAACTGTCCTCAGGCATCAAAGAGTGATGCTGTCTGCAAGGTCTTGCTGGTTGGGGGCCAGCCATACTGGTCCCTTCCGTAGGAGAGCCTGCCCCGTTTCAGGCAGGTCTGTCCCTTTTCCATGTGGATCGGTTTATTATGGGTATGACCAATCCAACATGTTTTGCCAAGATCGCAGAATTGGAAAAACTCTCCACCTCTGCTAGTTTTTTTTTTTACAGCCCAGATATTTTGACCTAAAATATTCAACAAAAACATTCCTTAAAAAGCAGCACTTCTTATTGAACAGTGAATGTTAACTGGGTCAGTCAGTGTGATAGACCCATCTTGGTCCAATATGAGGAGAAGATCATTGCACTATTGTGACACCCAAAGAACTGATGGTGAAGAATTCAGAATTAAAGATTTTTTGGTCTATATTGCATTGGGATTTTATTTTTTTTGTATATAAATATTATCTGATATTTTTAACATGAAAAAAATATAATATTCTAGCTCAAATTAATTATTTACAAAACGAATTTAAATGGTACTGATGGCCCTGATATTCCATTATTGCTTGGTTTATCTCTTATATCATAGAAAGTTAGAACAAGAGATATGAAAAGTCTATTAATACTCCCTGCAATTTCATCTAAACTGAAATAATCCTCGTACGGGTAAAGTAAGGTGAGATAATGAGCTGGGTTTATCCTGAACAAGATGGTTTCCTGTGCATCAGAAATAATAATGTAATGTTCTTCATATTAATGAAATTAAGCAGCGTTCCTCAGTTGATCCCGAAGAATATTCATTAATACAAACTCTAATTATATTGGTAATTTAGCAGCATGGTTTACAAATCTTCTGCTTTATATAAAAGTAACAAAATAAAGAATACTTTGTAGATTGATATATTTTGAAGGATAAATAACTATAGTTGCCATTAATCTGAGCAAGCCAGCAGGATTCCAGTCCTTGCAGCATTTCCTAAAAAATGGGATTCAGAATTAGATAAGGGGGGCCTGCTATTTTACAGGACGGATAACAGTTGAAGTAAATGTGCACTGGAGCAGAAGTGGTGTCTTTGGGCAATTGAGAGAATATGACCTTGATTCCCCAGTAAAGGTCAGAGTTGTCATTATGGAGGCTGTGAACTTGCCCGGTGTATTACACTTATAGGGATGCATCTAAAGATTAGCCACTCCACATACTAGCAGGTTTCCACCCACATTTGGCCTTTGACCATAATCATTTCCTGTTACATATGAGATATGCCCAACCCACCAAAACATTACTTTAAAGGACCACTATAGTGCCAGGAAAACATACTCGTCTCTAGGTCGCCCACACCCTCAGGGCCCCCCTCCCGCCGGGCTCTAGGTGGTGAAAGGGGTTAAATTTACCCCTTTCTCCTCCTCCTTCTCGTCATCATCGGCTGAATGCGAATGCGCGGCACGAGCCACACGCGCATTCAGCTAGTCCATAGGAAAGCATTCCCAATGCTTTCCTATGGACGCTGGCATCTTCTCACTGTGAAAATCACAGTGAGAAGCGTGGAAGCACCTCTAGTGGCTGTCAATGAGACAGCCACTAGAGGCTGGATTAACCCATATGTAAACATAGCAGTTTCTCTAAAACTGCTATGTTTATAGAAGAAAGGGTTAATCCTAGCTGGACCTGGCACCCAGACCACTTCATTAAGCTGAAGTGGTCTGGGGGCCTGTAGTGGTCCTTTAACTTTGTTTTTGAGGCAGAAACAAGGAAATCTCGATTTTTACATCTGGTAGTGCCCAAAGTGCTACTGGCCTGAAAATCTAGCATTATATATACCGTGCTACATCAGGATAGTGACATAACCTAAAGCTGCTGTTTTTTATCTTCTGATAACATTCTCCATCATAGCCAGAGTTAATAACCCGGAATTGCAGTCTCACCAGTACCTCACACTGTAAGACCTCACAATTGGGTGGCATTTTACCTGTTAAGAGTTGCTGGACAAAACCTATGTCAGACAACTCCAAGCAAAGACGCTGCCTGTGATATAATAATATATGTCCCGAAATGGGAAAACTGCAATATATCACAGTAAAAACTGATCCCCATCAATCAATTATTATATTCCAATCAACATCATAATTCTGAAACTAAAAAAAAAATAAAAAATTATTTTTTTCTGCACAAACCGCATTTTTTTCTTTTTGCCATTCAAAAAAAACGATAAAATATTACAACACGATGAAACGTAACAGTTTCAATGACAGATAGGTACAATTAAAAGCAACGTGAAAGCTGAGATGCACACTGAAGGGTTGCAGCATATCCTCTACAGAGCTAAACAAGGTCCGCTAAATCCCTAGTATTTTAAACCTACATTTGCTGACACCATCACAACATTTGTACATGCTAATTATGGTCTATATTTTACATATAGATTATAGTGCTCTCTTCACTACTGAGTTGCATGCCATTGGTTCCATACAGTAAGGTCGGATTTCTGCTGTGTGCAGATCATCCCTGTTAAAATACATGCCAGATTCTGGTCACTAGCATAGAGAATGCATGCTACAATTATTATACCAACATCCTTTTTTGAGATATGAGTTATATTAGCATAACAATAATGCAAATATAGGCATTACTTTAAAAAATATTTTGGTTATTTTCCATTAAAATGCAAATTGTCCAGTAAAGATTACAATATTGAATAGTATGAATAATTGCTGTGTACCTAGTACTAAGACCTATACCTGAAGCATGTATAACTACATAATACATTAGCAATATTCCACAAATTAACACAGATGACAATGCTAATCAGGATCTAATTAGAAATGCCAACAGAAATTGCAAAGATACACTACTCAATTTAAAGTGGTGAGAGATACAGCAGGATATTATAGAAGGATAAAAAAAAAAAAAAAAAACAATAAATTAATCTTAGATTTACAATATTAATTTATTGTGCATCAAAGAGCAATTCTGTAATATGTATTTATATAGTTTGCCAAGCTGTCCTGGCACAGCCAGGGCATATGATGCAGATTAATTTAATCCCCATGCAGCTGTTCAAGGTGGAGTCATGAGGATGCACAAAAGCATTCAGTATTATGGAATGAATACACCAGTTTGCATGCACTCCTAAGGCACTTTTTAGGAAAATGTCCAAGCATACAAGTTGTTCCATCAAGGAATAAAATGCTGCTGAGGCATGTTTAATTAATGTTTACCTCCACAGAACTTGCCAGCCCAGTAATTACTTCAATTGCATTTACTGGGGTGAGGGGATGTGGAACTGTCACTAAAATATTACAGTACTGCTTTAAAGGGCTTATCAACAAGTAAATATGTAACCATATACATGGCTTCAGGAAAGTCATGGTTTTCCTTGCACTCTTCTTTCTTGCTGACAGAGGTCATTAGCATGATCAGAACAAAAGTGTTGGATTGCAGGTACATTTTTTCTTTTTTTTAATTTTTTAATAGGTTAATTAAGGGGGACCATGCCAAAAAGGGTTACTATTAAAACACTGTTTTTGTTTGGATTAACTCTTTAAATATTTTCTGTTCTGTCAAGATATGTGAACTTTCACATCAATAAAAGTTCTTTTACTTTATTCATTGTCAACTTGAATGCTGTTAGTAATGTAAGAATTTTGTGAGGGGTCACTCTAAGAAGACGCATTGTATTTGGTTTTTCAAGCTATTACTAAATATTCTTAATTATTGCTCTTTTGAAGTTTTAGGTGGTTTATTTATTCTGATAATATAAATAGTGATGTCCCGAACAGTTCGCCACGGACGGCGAACATATGCGCTGTTCGGTCCGCCCCCTATGTCATCATTGAGTAAACTTTGACCCTGTACCTCACAGTCAGCAGACACATTCCAGCCAATCAGCAGCAGACCCTCCGTCCCAGACCCTCCCACCTCCTGGACAGCATCCATTTTACATTCATTGTGAAGCTGCATTCTTAGTGAGCTGTCCAGGAGGTGGGAGGGAGGGTCTGCTGCTGATTGGCTGGAATGTGTCTGCTGACTGTGAGGTACAGGGTCAAAGTTTACCCAATGATGACGAATAGGGGGCGGACCGAACAGCGCATATGTTCGCCGTCCGCGGCGAACCGTTCGGCAAACCGTTCGGGACATCACTAAATATAAACAATGCCTTAATTAACATTCCATTTTGTGGTTTGCTCATGAAAAAAAGAAAAGAATGGAGCTTAAAGGGACACTCTGGGCACCATAACCACTTGTTATGGTGAGAGGATGTCTAGGTCACAGACTTACCTTCAGGGGCTAATAAACCTTTAATCAACTATTTAACCCCAAAGTCTTCAGTCTGGTGCCGGTTCCAGTCCGATGCTTCAATCAGGAAGCCTTGAATTGGCTATTACTGACACTTTCAGCCGATCAGTAATTCCTTATATACAAAATGGAGTGAACAAGGTATATATATGTTTTAATCCCTGAAGGTAGGAAGGTAATATTTGCATTTGCCCATAACATTGGTGCCAGGGACATCCTCGTACCATAGCACCTTCATTCCGTTGAAACTGTTATTATGCCCAGAATGTTCTTTTGAGATGGAGTATAAAGCATAATTAAAAGGAAGTAAGGTTCTTTTGACTATATGCTAGAAGAGTGCATGTTTTTTTTTTTATTTTTTTTTTTTTCTTAAAAAAATATATATGTGCTGGCTTGCAAAATAGAAATAATACACTGCAGGAAAGAAAATGTAATTAAGCTCTGATAGAGCAATAATTTGGAAAACAATTGACATGGGACAACAGATAGGGTGAATGCACAACATGCTATATACTAAATAGCAAAAAACAAAATAGGACAACTGTTATTTCAGTTAAAACCAACATACAAGCCACAAGCATCCCTTTTGTGGACATTAGTAAGAAGTGAAGAAACAGAAACCACTCATTTTTTATGAGTATTATCTTGATATCACATCCACTTCCTAGCTATTCTAACTGAAAAAAATTTCAGGCAAATCTTTCCTTTAAAAAAAAAAAAAAAAATATATATATATATATATATATATCACTGTTACCCACCCAAGCAAATAAAAAAAAACAAAAAAAACCTAAAAGAAGAATACTGGAATACCATTCATTATCTTACCTACTGCCTATCTTCAAACTTATTTGCAGACTGGTATTTTGACTTAGCATTTTGGACGGCTGGATATTAAAGAGACACTCTATGCACTAAATCCCATATCGCTAGTTATTGTTATGGTGCACGGAGTCTTTGTTCTATCCCCTGGTTTTCTGTGAAACCATTTGCTATTTGAGTCTGCTAGACAGGTTAGCCTATCATTGCCGTCTAAGTCTGCCTTAGTGGCTGCATTGTTTCATTTTTCTGTCAAACAGCTTGAAAACATTGACCTTTATTGCTCCCATGCTTAGATTGTCTCTTTAATCTTTGTGGTTAAATCCAGAAATTATTTAACCGTTTTATTAAGTGAACATAAGATCAAATAATATAATGATTTCAATCAAAAACAGTTTGACTACTTACAATAGGAAGAGGCATGTCATGGCACTCCTAACACCACGACCACTACAGAGAGCTGTAGTGGTGAATGGGCTTGGAGTTTTCATTTACTATATAAATGTGATAGAAATGAAATTGTAAATATTATTGATTTTCTTTTGAAGAAATAATTCTGTTATATTCTAAAGAACATAGAGTGTGAAGTCTGTTATCAGTGCTGACTACATGTACCTGAGGGTAGTAAACTGTTGGGTACAGTTCGCTATTTTCACTGTACACAAAGCCATCTTTCTACCCATGCCTTGCTATGGATATTCTTAACATTACAAGGTGTGGGGAAAAATAAAAAAAATATATGCTTTCGAGTTTGTCTGTTATAGATATTAGATAGCTTCAACAATGTAAAAAGCCTGAACTTCTCTTGACCTTTTGAGGGACCATGCTATACACAGATCTTCATAGACAGTTTTTGATTATATCAACAATTCAGATTATCTGAACCAGATTGTCTGCCATATAAATCTCTTACATAGAAGCCCTCTAAAGTGAGATTTTTTTGTACGGAATTCTACATCAGAATATTGGCAGATGAAATGTTAACTACTGATACCCTAAATAAAAAGGTAATGTATGTAAAATTATAAATAAATGGTGATAAAACTTACATTTGTGCCTGCTTAACAATGTCAACTAATGACTAATCACGGTTATGTAACCAATGTATAAATCGAGCACTAATAGATTAGGAACAACGCATTACAATTGTCAGCATGGTGCGGCTTAGCTTGAAATGCAAAGAACTTTAATAAATAAAACTTCTATTTAAAAAAAAATAAAAAAAAAATAGGGAAAATATATGAAACCTCCTTTGGCAGTAATAGCTTCAATTGGTCCACTAGTCTGACAAAATAATCAGTCCTTTTCTTCATTATTTGAGTAACTCCACCGCATTCCTGAAGTTCGTTCACTTGTGACCAAGGTATGCTCCTAAGGTGATGCAAGCACCAACTACTGCAAGACTCAGTATTGTCTTGATGGAGAGCCAGGTTGGATCAAACGGGGGTCTGACACTGCTGTCATACAATTCCACAAAAGCATCCTAGAAAGAAGAAAACGAAAAGACAAAAATGTAACTAGGTGATAGACATAAATACAATATGTTTATATCTAATACATTTTTTGTCTAATTTATATTTTAATTGCTCAATATTAAATCCTCCTTATTCCCATCACCAATTTGATTTTCACTCTGTTTCTCATCATGCGAGATAAAGCATGACAATAGCAAAGCTGGACCTAAACATTAACCTTGTCTAGCTATACACATTTAAATGCCCTGTAATTAAACATTGGATTACATGGCGCCATGTCACAGGCAGTAACATTGTATATACACATTGTACTGGAAAAGAATGACTCACATAGTATTCACATTTTTATTTTTTAAGTGTCAATTGCCCATTTTCCATCAAAATTTGAAGACGTTATCCTTCACAGTATTTCGTAACGTCACTGTTTCAATTGTGTTAGTGTGTGTACCTCTACTAGAAGGCTGTTTCAGTATCAACCCTTAATTTATGCTTCTTCTTTTCATTCCAGCATGCTCCTTTTAAAGTATGCATATGTGATAATTTTACACCTGATAATCAATTGTTTTATATCACTGTTTATTTTTCCTCTTTATTTTCCTGGTATTTTAAAATGTTTTTTTCAATCTTTTATTTTGTATTATTTTGTATTGCTTATGATACACTGATTTAATATTGAAGATGAATGATAAAAAACAAACAGCCAAACAATGAATTACGTGGCTGCTAATCAACTACAAAGCAAGCAGACAGATTCAAAACGTTTAATTTGTACTCAGCAAATCTGTAGAATGGGGAGCACACTTTAACTAAGCAACTTTGCTCATCATATGTCAATTGGTGGCAGAAGTGTATGGTTAAAGTGGCCCCATCAACTCAAACGTACCTTTAAAACATGGATGGTTTTGTCTTATGTGTTCTTCCTACGCCGGACAAATCTTGACAAAGGGTGGTGCTTAAGGTAAGTTTCACTTATGGGAATAAAGGGTGAGGCTTGCCTTAAGCTCCACCCTTTATCAAGGCTACCAAGGGTAGGAAAATTCTACTTTGTATTATGTTTTAAAGAGAAATAGACCCAAAATCAAGAAAATAAGAACAGATTCTGAAACAGGAAGAGTAGAAGAAACAATAGGAGGAAGGTAGGTTTGATATGACAGAACCACTTTTTTGTCAATCTTTCTATTCTTTTTTTAAACATTCTTTATTTTTCAAAGAAGGCAAACAGATTGTGTGTTCTTCAGTAATTACAGCGGTTGCAAGTTACAGTTGTCTCTACAGTACATAACATGTTGGAGATGTCATTTGAAAAGGTTATTTGCATGGTTGTGGTATCTAGAGCTTGATCGCACGCAGGCGATGTGTAGGCAATTGCTGTATTTGACGCTGGAATTTCGTCTGTAGCCTCATTATATATTTTCCAAAAAGTAGTAGAGGAAAGCAATAGAGAATATTGTGATATATAAGGTTAGAGGTGAGAGTGAGAGATAACTTGTATGTGTCCTGTGGGGTGTCGGATAGTGGCTCTGGTATGTTTCAGTTTTTAGGTCGTTTGTTTGTAAGGGCATCTTTCTGATGGTACTGGGGTTCCTCTAAGAGTGAGGGGCCGCTCCCTCCCCTAGGGGTCTATTTGTTGTTGTCAATCTTTCTTTTATTGAGGTAAAGTATAACTTTACAAAATAAAGAAGATGGGTTATAGCAGGTGAGTCCTTTTCAGGTATACAGTAGTAGCATACATTATAAACTTGAGCATATCAGCCTCTTTTTTTAATATTATACTGTAGCGGACCACGGGTAACCCACCAGGTTACCTCCACTAATTCCTTCCCTCAGCCACTCTGGAACCACTTAAAGTATAAAGACACCCATTCCTCCAGTAACTGGACGACACACAGCTCTGGGAGTACAACATGATTTTTTTGTGCCACACACGGCATTTATGCATACCCCCCTGCAAGGGGTCTTCCACACAAACAGACAGGGGTTTCCATCCTCTGTGCCTGGGATCCAAGGCGCAGGAAAATGATCTAGTTTCTTTGTCTCCCAGGTACAGAAAGCCCGAAAAATAGTCAGTGCCCCAAATGCGGCCCCACCAACCCCAGGAACCCCCACAAAAGTACATTTCCGTGACTGGTCTCTGTTCGTAAGGTTACTGTGTGAACACCATGCAAGGGGAGCGATTCATTTCGGGATACGAATGCTCCCCCGGGTTGGCAGGAAGGCTAACGTGAGTCCAAGTGAGTAGTGAGAGTAGACAGAAGGTGCATTTGTTCTGGTATCCGCTTGGGGGCAGCAGGTAGGTAGAATCAGCAAGTCAGTCGATGCTGCTGGTGGGCCACCCTAAACAGTCCCTTTCCAGACCAGATCTCTCGAGGTGTGGGGAGGTCTCCCTAACTGCCTCAGTTACTGACGTGAGCCCACTTTGCTCCACTGAGATGTCCACCGAGTCCCGGACACCCTCCACTTCTGAGCACCCCACAGTTGTATATACTGTGTGGAGTGGTCTGCAGCCGACTGCTCATGGGTCTGTGTATCCAGAATGACGCTCGTCATCAACCCGAGGCCTTAGCAGGGGCCCTTGCATTGTATCCATTGATCCCATTATCAGGATCATGGGCCCAGGAGTTCTCCAGGTTCCGGTTATCCCCCTGGGTGGATGGACGGTGGAGGAGAGATTTCTCCAGACAGGCTCCCAGCTCAGAAGAAGGGTGAGCGGCCCGGGCACCAGTGATACCCATCTGTGCGGGGGGGTGTGTTGGTTAGTGGGCGTTTGGTGCCAGCCCGGGCTGTGACTCTGAAGTGGGGCAAGCTGCGGGGCCTGCCGTGGCAGGAGGCTGTACATCAGCTTTTTTGTGGAGTTTCTGTGCGGGCCTCGAGAATTCTATGCAGATCCTGTCAAAGGTGGCTAGGAACTTGGCCTCCCAATTTGGTACTTAGAGCTCTGTTTGTGCACCAGCCATCTGGGCCATGCCACCAGGGTTTGGATAATCTTTATGATGCTTGCGGGTGTTCGTTAGCTTTTCCTCCAGTGGGGACCGGGATAACCACCACCAGTCCAGAGGGGGGAGGGCGACTGAGTGGCTGCATCCCACGTGCAGTCCCAGAGACCAGCTGGCTCTCCTCTCCTTGGGACCCGCTAGGTGAGTAGGCCTCAATAGCTGTAACCGGCCTTGAGTTATCAAGTGTGGCTCCAAAGTCGCTGCAAAGTGTTCCCCTGTTGCTATCTGTAGGTAGTTAGTCATTTGGGCAGTTCTTGGGGATGTCACCTCGCTCTGTCATGTGTCACACTTCTTATGTAAGGAGCTCACTCAAAGAACGTCTGTCGGCCATGAAGGTTAGGTCCCGCCCCCCAACAGAGCCACTTTAAATCATCACTGAAATTTAGTCTCCAGACTGTGCTGTATCTTGCGATCTCTTGCCAATCAGAGCGTTGCCGCAGGTTAACACGGCAATGCTCTGGCTTCTGGATATCGCGAGATACAGCACAGTCTGCAGCTCACACCCGGCAGAGCTGCAGACTGGAGAGACAGACCACCAGGGAGCCAGGACACTGGACCACCAGGAAGCCAGGACACTGGACCAGAAAAAAAAAGGTATTTCTAACACCATCCCTCACTGTCACCAGTCACCCCCTCCCTCAGTCACTGTCACCAGTCACTCTGTCACCCCCTCCCTCAGTCAGTCACCAGTAACCCCCTCCCTCAGTCACTCTGTCACCCCCTCCCTCAGTCACTGTCACCAGTCACCCCCTCCCTCAGTCACTCTATTACCCCCTCCCTCAGTCACTCTGTCACCCCCTCCCTCACTTTCTCTCTGTCACCCCCCTCCTCTCACCTGCCACCCTCACTCTGTCACCACCAGTTACCCCTCCCTCAGTCACTTGTCACCCTCCCTCAGTCAGTTACTCTGCTACCCCCTTTTCAGTTTCCCTGTCACCCCCTCCCTCACTCTGCCACCAATCACCCCCTCCCTCCCTCACCCTGCCACCAGTCACCCCCTCCCTTAGTCACTCTATCACCAGACACCCCCTCCCTCAGTCACTCTGTCACCAGTCAACAAACGTAGGCTGCACACATGAGGGCTTAAGCGTAAAATTAATGTTTAAATGAATACTATATCATTAGGAATAGAAATATGTATTTCTAAGTTATAGAGCCCAAGTCCCCGTTTACATGACCAGGCCTCCGCTGCCACAGGTAAAAGGCTTATCTTTCTCAATGTACCAATGTCCTCTAGGAAGCTCCATGTCTTTGGCTGAGATCATTGAGATCAACGATCAGCCATTCCAATGCTTTCCCACATTAAAATACTGCACTGTGCCAGTCGCATGGTTTCTCTGAGACCAGCTAATTGACATACTGGAGTTAGGTTAACCCTGCAATGTTATAGGAACGGCAATGTTTTCAGCTGCAGGTTTAAAACAGGGAGGAGACATCTCACCCAGACTGCTTCATTGAGATGAATTGGTCTGGATGCTTATAGAGTCCCATTCAGTAACTTTTCATAGGTGCCATTATAGCACACTTTTTACATTGGTAATTATTGTCTATTTTCTAAGCTAACATGCTATAGCTACAGTTGGCAGGAGCAGCCTAGATTTTCACTTTTACTTACATTGTCCCTTTTCATTTACTTATATTTTTTCAGACATCCTGATTAGGTCAACTTCCGAATCTTGTTTGAACAGACTGCTACTATTTATCTTAGACTCCA